CCCGTCCTGTCACTTTGGCAGAGCAAAGAAGCCACCGGCCCCTCTGCTGCGTGGCAGCATTGTGCCCATTCTGCAGGAGCAGTCATCAAGGCGACAGGTGAGGGCTTGGTCAAAGGTTAGACAGTGAGTCACTCGCTCCGCCAGACGGAGCACTCAGCCTTTCTTAGCGGCTCTCCTCGACCAGACAACGCTGCCCCAAACTCTCTCCAAAACGGCAAGCTGATTTGCTAACCACTCTGCACCACCTCCTATCTGACCCTAGTACTAGACCTCCCGGACAGAGGGGCCAATACCTCCGTGTCTCCACACATTAGCTCCGGAGACATGCCCAGTCAGCTACAAAAGAGCGTAACGGGAAACCGCTCTCCATGAACCGAGTCTAGGCATCGGGTGCAACCGTTCGAATCTGTTCAGTCGCGTGCCAAGTCCGCAGAGACTGGCAGCTCTCTGGGGCAGTGACCGCTTTGTTACCCAGTGCGTGTGCAGCACCTTGTGCAATGGGGGCCTGGGCCAGGACTGTTATCATCAAGCAAAAATAAATACATAAAAATCAATAAAAGAGAACCCAGGTGTCTATGGCCATAATAGCCAGCCTGCAGGCATCAGATGCCCTCTATTCTGGTGAACATTGCATTCGGGATAGACTGGGACTTGAATTGCACTTACTTGGGCAGGCTCGGTCTCAGTGGGCTGGCTGGGCCAGTCCACAGCAAAGGCGCTATCGCACTGATCCACAGACTGCATGCTGCTAGAGGAAGTCTTTTCAGGCTGGTGGGTGGAATTGGGAACGAGGGACGGGGAAGGAGGAAGATGGCAGCGGATGGGAACGTGAGAAGATAAAAATGAGAGGTGTGGGGTAAACGGGGAGGGGAAAAGAGTAGAAAAATGAGACGCACACAGAGGTACAGATATTCTGGGAGGACATCTGCAATTCATCTGCAAAAGCATGAACATGTCGTGGTAATCAGTGCCATTACTTGGAGAAAAAAAAAATGAAGCACACCAAGCAGTGGGTTGGTTTAGAGACATTACTTTCAGGCAGTTTAAGGCAATGATGGTGAGCCTGGGGCAGAAAGAGAGGACATCTGACTGCGCGGAGGAGCAATTTGGGTTTGGGGTATTTTTATGTTCGTGTCGTGGTGAATATGAGAAGCAGCTACATTCAAAAGCAGATGTGAGGAACACACGGGCTGTCTCCTTGGGGTCTGCAGATAGCCAGGCTGCATCTGTTGCAAGGAACCTCCTCAGGGCTTTGAAACAAATGATTTAGTCTGCAGGGACTACATCCGGTGCTCATGAAAACCAGTGACTAATTTCAAGATGGTCCCTTTCCTTATCCTGATCAATGCACCTTGCTTCTAGCCCGCAGCACCCTCCTGCCGCAACACGCTCCCCTGTTCCAGTCCCGGGACGTCACAGCTCAGCAAATGCAAGCACTGTCCATCGTCACAGCCACACACCTTTCTTCAGCAGAAACTACCAGCGCTGCACGCTGAGGGCAAGCCTACACCACTTCCAACAAGAGTCCACCATAAATGAGAACAGAATAGATGGGACAGAATTTGAACTCAGGTCTCCAGGGCTAACGACCATATGCCCATGCCAGGTAGCTTCTCCCGCAGCATCCCACTTTGTTCACTACTCTTCTAGGTGGAAGGAAGGCATGGTTGTGTTTTGCTTCCTTGCAAGACCTCCTATATTGTTACCACCCCTAAGCCCATCCTCAGTCCTATCTAGATGGGTAATGAATTCAAAGTATACACCAAGTAAAGCACGTGCCAGAAGTCCCCACCAACAAGGGACGGGGACACAGCTGGACCAGGGTTGAGATGCATCCACAGACTCCCTCATTCAGGTATGGAAGGGCAAAGTCCCCCCTTTCAGGTCACAAACAGCCTCCATACTGAAGCAGACCCAAGCCACCAAGTTGGCCCTGTCCCCCTCCTGATGCACTCCGAATTCATTTATAAGCCAAGCTGCAATGCAGACAGCTTTCCACAATGAAACAGCAATGCAACTGCAAGCCCAGCTGGCAGCCAGGTTTAAACTAACAGGATCCTGCAAGAAGTCTGCTAACAACAGTAGCAGTAACATGGAGATGAATACCCCAAGTCGACAATCATTGCTTACCCCCACTGCTGCCATTTAACATGCACTTTGTACCCTTTCACTTCCCTCCTCATCTCTCAGACTCACCATATCCAGGGCTTACGGGGCCCATGGATATTCTGAATATCTCGCGCTACCACCATCCCGCTGCCGATTCCCACAGCAGCCCTGGGGAGCGCCGCGTTCAACACAAACCCATGAAATACTACACAGGTCTCTCCTGTTTAATTAGATGCACTCCCAGGTTGCTTATTATTTGGACTGAATGAGCTTGGAACTGGGCTCGATGCCAACCAACATGCGTTTGGCCACGTGTGCTTGTATTTGGGTAAATGGGAAGAAGCTGCGTTGAGCAAGGCAGCTCATTTACAGAAACTGCATTTTAATAAGTGAGAGGTGGAATCTAATGAATCTCCCGGATTTCAGCAAAAAGCACGTTGGTGTCATCCACTTACTCTATTTTAGCTACTGCACAGCATCCCCGTGTCTGGGCACTACTCCACATGCACGTCCCAGTTCTGGACACCACGCCACATCCACATCCCAGTGTCTGGACACTACTCCACATCCATAGGGAGCTGGGGAAAAACACTTGTTTTTCCTGGATCAGAAAGCCTTGCTTTTCTGCCTTGTTTTAGTAAGTCAGCAGCTTTACATATCCCAGGTGCAAGTGTACCGGATTGCACCTTGGATGTGCAGGATGAAGTCCCACACGGGTGGGAAGCACAGGTTCTGAGGGGACGTTTGACTGCCATCGTTTTCCAAGTTAGGGGCAAAACAAAAATGACAGAGATGCTTCCCCTGGTGTTTCCTGTGGGATGCCAAACACTACAGCTGGCTCCAAACTGCCCTTTCTCTGGGACCCTCCAACATCAGAGTGGGTCAGGATCAAGGGATGGGTTGACAAAACTGTCTACCATCAGCTTAGCCCTGAGCCCTTTGGGGGACGGCAACACATACATCTCATAAATAAGCAAAGGCATTGCTCGGTGGATTTTCAAGCGTGTAGCAAGAACACACATTTCCTTCCGCAGCAGCCTCCTTGACACAAATGGGGGAAAGGGGTTTCCACCTTCTGAAGCCCCGCTGTTGTTGCACCAGCTGCAAGGACATGAAAGAGGAAGAACGTGCGTCAGTCCTTCCCACAATGCAAGGGCAATACCCAAAAATAGCAAAGAAACCACGACTTTAGCAAACAAACCAGCCCTGGACTGTTTTGGGGAAGGAACAATTCAGCTGATCCACGAAGACCAAGGCTGGGCCACGTAACCAAATGCTTCTCAAAGGGGCAATCGTGGAGACGGACCGAAGTAACCCAAGGGGCTCTGCTTTTAAGGCAGGAACCATTACCCTGTAAAGACATGACTTTTTTTTTTTTTTTAAAGAAGAGGAAAAAAAGATAGAGCACAACATGGGGAATGACATGGATGAACGCGATCAGCTAACAGAAAGCAGGGGGGAGCAGCCTTCTCAACATGCCCCAGGTGTGCACAGATCGTGAGCCACACCAAAACCTTGGGCCAGCTTTTCACCTGGAATAAACCAAGGTCTGACACCAATCAAGGATTCACAGGGATGCTTTGAGGTTCAGGGCCACATCTCGATGATAAAAATTCAGTGTCCCCAGGGGCAGGGCCTTCAAGCACACCACGCTGCTCCAAGTGGACTGTCTCCTAAACCCAGCCACAGCAGGGGACAGGCTCCTTCACTTAGGGGCTAGCTAATTAGCAGTCACTCTAATTAGCCTGCACTACCCCCTAGGACAGTGTGCAGAGGCATTTGCACTGCCCGCCTGGAGCGCAGCAGCTTGTGCAAGGGGGCTGCCCCCCGGAAGGGTGAATTTACCACCCATCTCTGAATGCAGACTTGCTGCTACAAGCAGCAAGCCTGGCTAATGACCTCCAATTTACATGAGGGGCTGGGGGGGTAAACTGAGGGGCAGTTGAGAGGCAGGTGCATCACGTTAGGCAAGAGATGGCAGGAAGGGAATAAGAGGCCAGTGGGGGTATGGAGAGGCGCAGACGCAATGGCAGGATTAGGGACACGGACAGCAACGCCAAACACCATGGAGATGATGGGAAAGCTCGCAGCACAGGCGACGGGGCGCTCTTCTGGGAACGCCAGGCGCAAGGCCTGAATGCATGGCCGCCATCGAGGCCCATCCACAACACAGAAGGGGGAAGCGGGTTTGAGACGTGGCGTGGTGGGAGCAGTGGGGCGGGGGGGGACAGCGCGCAAGAAGGTGGCGCCCGCACATGCCAGGGGAGATGGCAGGAGTTCACCGAGAGGAGAACGGGGGACGAGTCTTACCTCCCATAAATCCCAGGGGATAGACTAAGCATGTCAAAGAGCAACAAGAACAAAAAACAGGTTGAGACTCAATTATTGCAGCAGTACAAATGTCGTTCAGCACGAGGCAGACATACACATTCAACAGCACTTACCTCCGCATCTTTCTAGTTTCCTTAATTGTTTGAGACGTGAAACTCAGTCTCATACAGAAGAGCAGTTAGCTGGACCATGACCTTTATGCCAAGGAGCTCTGCCAACCCAAAAGCTGTGTGGACGACTGGCCTAATTAACGTGATGACATCGCAAAAGTATTGGAAATATCCCAGTTGTGGATTATACTGGCAGCTGCTGTCCAAGAGAGCAGGCCGAGATTAGGGAAAACTTCCCTTGCCTTCGTATTGGAAGCAGAAGGCCTAGGCAGACGGCACTGTCTGAGCCCAAGAATGGCTTCAAACACTCAATTTAGCAAGAGTATAAACCAGGGCTGGTGCCAAATTTGCATTACACCAAGGGCAGGATACATGCTAATTTTGTGTGTTTAGGAACAGCCCATATTTCCCAATCCTTCCTCTCTGCACAATAAGCCTCGACCCCATTTCTTAACTGGGAGTCGCATGTTCATGCAGAAGGTAGGAAGCTCCAGGCTGCTCCCCTGTGACAGTCCAGCCTCCTGTTTCTACAAGAGGCCAGGACCAGCCATCCTCAGGAAGGCGTAACACCTCCAGAACAGTGACTTACGCTGTTGGAGGAAGTTTCTCTTTAGCCCCAGGTGGAGGTTGGCAAAGGATGCTATTTCCCTTCCAAAGTCCTTCCTGTCCCAGACGATGGCAGATTGCTAAAACTCCCTGCTGCTCGCTAAACTGACGGTGGCTTATGGAAAGAACGTAGCAGCGAGGGTGCAATTCCCATCCACACAACCAGGGAAATCTCCAGAGGGCAGGTGGAAGATGCTAAGGATACACACGCTGGCTGAGCTTTCAGATCTCAAGAAGAGGGTCTGCTGGGTGCGCCCCCAAACATCCATGTATGAGGGTGCAGATCAGATTGCTGCAAGTGCAAAGCCAGGGGCACAATTACCCGACTCAGATGCACGAGTGCCCAGCGAAGCATGCAAATGTGCCGGCGGGCATGTACTCGTGCCTGCTGCGCGCCTCTGAAAGCTCAGCCAACGCGAGACTATACAAGGTGGGCACAGGCTGCCCCCGGTTGTCAACAGTTCATTCAGGCAAGAAAGAGGGAACGGTGACGTGAACAAACCTGGGAGACGGGTGTGGGTGCCTTCCCCACACCGGCATCTGGTTTAATGGGATCAAAATCCAGATCCAACAGGCTGGCTCCCTCCTGGAAGGGCCCAGGGGCATCAAACTTGGCAGCGGTAAGGAAGAAAAGCAGTGTGAGCATTAGACAAGCGCTGGAGACAGACTGTGTGGCAGCTGATAACCAAGACTTGGGTTGCAGATGGCATATTGCCTGCTCCCTCCAACCTGCTTACTGCCTACAAGCGTGGGCAAGGCACTCGTGCAAACAAACCTGACCCTTTTACATAAAAAACCTCCACCCTAACACACCCTACATGTCTTAACAGCTGGCCTGGCCAACTCAAGATAGCAGGGCCTATTAGGGCCAAAGTGCCAGCTTGGAAGAGGTCCTCTTCTCTTCCCAACTATCCTTTGTGGCTCTCCTGCACCAGGACCAGCTACACCGCGCTCAAGGTTAACTGTCCCAGCCTCCTCGACAGAAGCCATCGCCTTCAGGACTGAGCAACGGCAATCGTTTCACTCCCAGAGTCTAGACCGGCCGTCTTCAGGGCCTCGAGCTGTGCATGGGAACACATGCCTGACAGCAGTCTCAGCACTAACCCCCGCAGCAGCTAACCTGTCTTCCCTCTTTGCTGAATCCCAAACACCACCTATCCCCAGGTCAGACGTGCCACACGTGACCATTTGCCTGTAACCGGCGTTAATCAACGCACCCGAATCCCAGTCCGGTCAGCACAGGCTTCAGCGCTCTGAACATGGGCAGTCGGAAACACAGAACAGCTCATTTTCCAGGACATGCACAGATGCAGGAGCAAAGTGAGTCCCTTTATTTCTGATTAACTCACTAGCTAGAGGCATTATCAGCGCGTTCACCCATAGCCTTGAATGCAGCAGACCCAGCACCAGTCGCCTACAGGGAATTAATCATTAACTTTCCATACTGACCCGTGACATTTCACCATTGTGCGCCTCTCCCTTTCTGTCTAGCTCCTCCTTTAAAGAAACAATCCTGCCCACAGTCCCCCAAGGCCTGTGCTACCAAGCAGATTTCCTCCGCCTCGCTGGACCTCTCGCTTCAAACCCCTTTCAGGAATACCCACGGTTTGTGCTCCGTTTTCCTTCCCCAATTCCACCAAGACCCAATACTGAAACTGCTCCTGGGACTTCCTAACACACACCAGGTTATCTAGAGACAAGCTTCACATCACATTAGGATGTGAATTCACAGGCGAAGCAGGCCACGACATTTAGCAGTGCAGCAAAACCAACACAGTGATCCACAGACCTATGAAAAGAGGACCGCACACAAGATCCATGTTCCCATCATGTTCCACCTCAGTGTAATTTCTGCCCATTTTTTACCTTCTCTTGTGTTGTTTAACACCCACAGGAACGAGTTTATTCAGCTGAAACAGGGAAAGGAGCTGCAAACTTTTGGCCCTTGAAGCCCAAGTGACAAGCATGAACCCAAGTCCTCAGCATCTAAAGCCCATTGTATGCCCGTAATGTTTCTCCAGTAAAGTCTTTAACAAGCTTCCAGATCCCAGACTTTACGCCTTCCCTTAGTGCACCAAGATAGAAAGCGCCAGCTATACCACCGGCATCTTACCTGCTGTTCAAGAGTTATGCACACATATACCTGCAGCAGATCTGCGCCCTTGGCCTCTCTCCCCCAGATCATTAGCTTAACTCAGACTCCAGTATCAAACTAACATGGCCTTGGAGAAGGCACCAAACAGCAACAGCCACCAGGTGCTCCAGTGGAGAAGCCAGATTATCCCTCAGAGATCACGTCCGGGGGATGGCGCAGTAGATCCATCCTGGGCCATGTGCACTGAGCAGATGCAGACTGGAGTCTCTGGTTACATGTAGGCATTCACACAGAAACACGAGACCAACGATGGAGCAGACATGGAGATCACTTAGAAACACATGCTACAACCTACACGGGGGGACAGACATGGCCCAGTGACCTGTGGCTTGCTTTGGTTGCATACGCACACACAGAGCAGGCATTTGCCTGTCCAGAGGTGAATCCAACTGGAGCCGGGGGACCATTCGGTACCATCAACTGCTCTGAGACGCTGCCAGCGTCCTCCAAAGTCCTTGGCTAAGCACTCCCTTTTCCCGGCTCTGCAAAGATCTGCCTTGCAGCAGCTCTCTTCTCTTCCCTCCTGCCCCTCATTTCTTACAGTTCTGCAATCCCCGCTTTCTCCTGGAAGCATCTCAGCAATTTGGGGATCTCCCGATAAACAAGGTCCTTGCACTTCCATGCATCGTCTCCACGAACCCACCTGTCACAGCTGCATTTCTTTAATCTCCTTGTAGCAAGGACCTTGTCTGTGTGGAGAGCTGCATGCACTTCCAAGGCTCTACCAACTACCCAGCCCTCATCGCTGCTGCTCAGCCCAGGTGGTGAAGCTTGAATCCTGGCACCAAAGGAAAAACTTTCCCATATCTCTTTGGATTTGGACTGCTCTGGGGTTAGTGATGAGCCTAGAAACGTGGCTTCAGAGCTGGCAGACACAGTTCTGTGGGTAAATCTGATATCTTTTAGTAGACCAACTCAAAGAGTTGGAAAAATTCTTCTTTGCAAGCTTTTGGGCATAAATACCCACCATTAGGCTCATATCTACACCCAATTACTAGAACTAAAAATAAAAAGCAATTCTCCTCTGCAGACTACTTCTAATCTAAGACCATCCCTGCTTTTTTCTTTGCCACATGCATCTTTGCAGTCTAAGTCAGCTCTCCCTTCGATAAACCTGCCCCAATCCTTGCCATCTGCATGAAACGGGAAGGACAACTTTCTTTTCTTCTGACCCTTTCTCTGCAGCCGGGTGGGAGGTAGGAAGCCACAGGTCACTGGTCTGAGTTACAGATGCAAGAAAGGGGAAGCGAGTCACACCGAGCCTTGTTAGAGGTGTCACTTGTTCAAAGGGATCATTCAAAACAATTAAACAAAAGAAAAACAAGTCTTACAATGCAGCCAGAAAACTGGTCAGGCTCCTTCCTGCCTAGGGGTTACCCAGACAGGCTGGACATTAAATCGTTCTCTCTGCACCCTGTTCCTAGCTCCACCAGCAAACTATTAACATGGGAGGGAAGAGGGACACCATCCCTTCGTGGCTGTGTCTGACTTTCAGGACTCCAGAGACATTTGAAGAGAACTAACCCTTTTAAATGGAGCTGCTTGCCGGCAAAAGCAGCCAGCCGGAGGAGTCTGACGGACAAAGAATTTGAGAAAACCGAGTCCTCGCCGCTCCGAAAAGCAAATCCACTGAACTGCCATCAGTGACGCGCTACCGGATGGCAGCAGAAACAGGGCTTGAAGGCATCCAGACTGGAGGCAACCCTGTACAGGAGTGTCTGGGGAACTTGGCCCACCCACTCTTTGGCCTGTTTGCTTGATGCAAATCCTGCTGATTGCAAAGGCGCTGCAGAGCCTTTCAGCCTCTGGAGATCAGCTGGTTAGACGCAAGCCTTGGCTTGGAATAACCCTAATTTGTGGATATCCAATGGCTTTTTTTATCATGGTCTGGTGAGACTGAATTAGGAGGACTCTGGAATTAGCTAACACCAAAAAACCACTGCTGCCATCTCAGGGCTGCATCCTGTGCCCTGCCCTGCCCTCCTGACCAGGTTTCTTGCCGTGACACCTCTAACGGGGAAGGGGACAGCGAGGAGGTGAGAGGCGGACAGACGGAGATAAGGCAGGGCGTAGCGGCTGACCTGCGAGGGAGTGGTCACACTTATCTCGGGGACAAAATTGTCATCAAACAGACTGATGATGTTCTCCTGCTTGATCTCCTTGGACGGGGTGAGTTTTGGAGGTGGCGGCACGGGAGGACCTTTCCTCAACTGCATGCAAGCGAGCACACGGCGACAGCACAGATGGCGACACCCAGAAAAACCAGAGACAGGAACCAGGTTAGCAAAATAAAACCATGGGGGAAGGGACACGGGGAAGGGTCGAATAAATAAACCTGGAGGGGAGGGAGGGAAAACAAATCACACGCCTCCAAGAAGGTTTGGCATCATTAGTTACACTTCAGCCGTGGGCCGTCTCCCGCTGCGGAGGAGAAGCGTAACACAATTAATATGCATCAACTGGGCATGCATACATAATTAGAACATGTGCAACCTTCCAGAAACACCGCCGGGAGGCACACATCGGTTAATTGGCACAGTCTGGTAGAGAAATCCAGTGCATTTGCCACCTGGCTCAATACCTACCTGCATGATGTAGGCCCCCGGGGGCAGGGTTAGACACCAGAGTGGATCCTGAACAGCCAGCGGGCCGGATTCTGATCTCGAGGACACTGCTCCAGTCTACGGGCGTCAGTGGATTTACTCCAGCACAAGTGAGATCAGAGGGGGCCCCTTGGGTGAGGAACATGGCCAGGGCTCAGTCCTGGGTCCAGAGCCATCAAACCACACGGGAAGCAATAACTGCGGGCCTGATTCTGCTCTCCGTTTCATCAGCGTGCAAGACTAGGGACACCACTGGAATCAGAGTTTCTCTCGCATACGTCCAGGGAACGAGGCTGAGGGTTTCAGCTGCGAGGCTCCCATATGCTAACACCTTGCTTCACCGCGAGACCTGGATTCATTGCTAGGTGCTGTGGGAACGCTCACTAGGGACATGCAACCCAGTTCGGTATTTCCCTGGGTTGCAGGCATCCCTCTCACCTAGGAAAATGGATCATCGTTATTCCCCTCAGACTAGGGGTCCTCAGGGGGACTGACAGAGGATGTATGCCATATCAGCATCAGGCCCAGGGTCAGCACATGGTCATTCCTGGCTCTCAGGCCTGTGCTCGCTCCACTAGACTACATCGCTTCTCCATGCTGCGTAGGCATGCACTCTGCTGAGCTAGCAAACAGCTTTCTAAACTGCTAATCCAACCAGCCACGGCCAAGATGCCAGATTTCAGATGTGTCTCCCGAGGCACAGCTGGCTGGAGACCCTTGCTGAGGCTGCACGTAATAACGGAAGTGGCACTTTCACTTCCAGTTTTCAGGCGGCTCTAGAAGCAGACGTGCCCAGAAAGCCTCTCTGGCATTATCCCCAACCAGATGCTGATTGCTGAAGCCTCCCGGGAGGGTGTCATCTCAGCAAAGTGAAGCTAATCCGTGCAGACACCGGGGGCTGTGAATCCAAAACCAAAGCAGTACAGGGGGCAGATAAAAACCTTGCTCAACATGCACATGGCCTGAGAAGGGATTTGGCTGCCTAAAATTACACCAACCCATTCCTGCAGATCCTGCAGCGCACTCGGTCATTGCAACAAAACTGCCACCGTGGCTCCGTTGACTGCAGCGGTGTCATCCCAGCAGACCGCAGTGTAACTGAGAGCACAATTCTGGCTCCTGAAGGCTCACAGGATCCACTGTTTATGAAGACCTGTCATCACCATAGACTAATTATCCAGGGTGGAAGCACGCTGCAGTCCCAAAATGGGAGGAGGCAACTTTTCAAAGAAAGAACAAAAATCGGGAGCAAAACAGCTGGTGCATGGGAACAGCGACTAGTTGAGACCTCAGTGGGATGAGTCTCCATTTTTACTCCACTCCTTTTCCACAAAATATTCCCATAGGAGTCTTACTGTTAGCATCGGCCTGCTGGGATGGAGCGAGGAGCTAAGCAGAGCATTTCTAGCATTTGATGCTTTCTTACCCCCGGTTAGATCTGGGGACAGGAGAAGACAGAGCCCACTTGTGTGTCATCCCACCTGCTGGGTGCTGGCAAAACCTTTCATTAGCAACCATCTTCCCAGATCCAGCCTCACTTCTCAGGCTTGATGCACCAGCTGAGACAGTCAAGTTAACCGACTCCAACTAGGCGTGCAATGGAAAATAACTGCCCGCAGGTGGCAGCATTAGCCGCACATTGCACGTCAGGCCGGGTCTTGGCTCCTGCTGGCAGAAGTCACGGCCAGGACTGCCTCAACAGTCTGCTTGCTTAGCGGGGTGTGATCCGCCCACGCCAGCCCGCAAGCGAGCAAGCGAGAAAACGCCCACGGCGTGGCGAAAGGATGGATAATACGTGCTAGTCAAGGGAAAGGGAAGGAGGAGTGGAAAACGTCTGTCTCAGCAGGACGGATCTGCACAGCAGCTAAGCAAACCTTGCAGATTGCAGACACCGCATTTTCGAGGCGAACGGCTGGAGGAAGGGCAGCGGGAACCCAGCTGGACGAAGCCCTGGCTGGGATGATGTAGTTGGCGCTGGTCCTGCTTGGAGCAGGGGGTTGGACTAGATGTGGCCTCCTGAGGTCCCTTCAACCCTCGTTTTATAGGATTTCTATGCATGAGGATCCCCAGTCAGAGAAGGCCGGGTACAGCGTGGGCTTGCGGGGCGAGTAGAGAGCATGGAGGTGGTTACTCCACAATGAGCATGAGCTGTAAAGCCTGGATGCATGCTCAGTGCCTCTCTCCCCCCAGCCCCACTATGAAGTTCAGGCACAACCTAAAGTCAGTGCTGTCCGAGTGACCCACAGCAGCCGGGCAGGTCCTGTGCGTCTCACGGGTAGATGCTGCGCAGCAATGGCCATAGAGGAGCAACCATAGTCCTGTCCCAGGAGAAGCACTTTCTGGATGCTGGCATCCAGAAAGCACACGCTCAGTGCAACTCTCCCCATTTATACATATCATATTGATGTTTCAGGGCTGCAACCATTCGCTACCCACAGCCAAGGCATTCGCCACAGCCAAAGGCACTGGTTTTGCTTGAAAATCTCTCTCATCCTACCCTATCTCCAGCTATGCTTTCCCCAAAGCGTGAGAGCCCAGGGCCTTCAGATTTCACATCCCCTTCAAGGTGGATATCACTGAGGTCACACGCAGTCCAGGGACCATGGCTGAATCTCTGGCTGGCAGTTACACATAGAGATGGACAGTGGTGGCAAGAAGGAATAGGTCACTGCAAGTAAAAGAAACCAAATCCAACACTAGCAACAGTAGGGTCTGAGCAATGAAGAGTGCTACCAGCCACGTTCATCTCTCAGACAGACCCTTGCACAAGCAAGTGCACAGCTCCCCCCTGCCATCCCCACTTGCTACCAAGGACAAACATTTTGTGCAAAGCAGAACGAGGTAGAGCCAAACTGCGGCCAGAGCACGCTGCTTCACTTAAAGGCTGGGAAAGGCCCAGTCTGTATCCACCTTGGTTTAGAAGTGACGGGATGTTTTCTCACCCATGCAGCTTTCATTCAGTTTGGGATGCTCATCCCCAGTGCAACCACCAACAAAATCCCAGGACTTGCTCCAGACGTGAATGTACTCTGCATGCTCCCCACCTCAAAAAGTCTCCTATCAGTGGTGCTGATAGGTACTGGACTGCCACTTGGCGATTCACACACGAAGAAAGGGCTAATGAATAAAAAAGCATCTGCTTAAATCAGCTAGGTACGTGAGCATTATGCTGCAGTTCATTACAGTGCAGGGACCTTAAGATAAGCTCTTAGCAGCATTTCTACTTAAATAAGATCAGACCCACGGTTCATCTCGTCTCCAAGACTGGTCAGTCTCGGATGTTTCAGTGGACAGGACGAGTTTCCCCGTAACAGGCCAGGGGTTTATAGAGATGTCGTATTCATGGAAGTGCAAGGGTTTGCCGTTGTTATTTTTACAATCCCAGCTCATGTCAATGTGAACAGTTTCTGCATCCATGTCAGTGCTGGCTCCCTCTTTGGCCCTGCGAAACAATCAACTTCAGTGGCATCCTCTGACGAGGAGTTCTCCCGCTTCGTTATGTGTTGTGACAAATGTCACGTCGTGTCTTATAACTCACCCTTTCAGACAGGCCCTACACCCCTGGTTAGAAAACATGAAGTACGTGCTTCTGTACGAGGTATGCGTGTTACTCAAGTGAAAAGGTATTTTTAGGGAACGCTTAGCATTGTCCCTACAATGGAGAAAATAACCAGGAGCGGAGTGCCTGCCCCTGCAGGGGTCTGGCCCATTGCACCGGATGCAAAGCAGACCGCCTCGCGTGTTCTCAGCGACACGCGATTTGACTAGGAAAGGGGTGGCCTTGTGTGACCACCGAGCCCGCGGCAGCAGAATCACACTGCCGGGCCAAGTTTAGCCCCCGAGGATACTACCTGAGATGGCGACTTTGGGATGCCTGCCCCAGGTGTCTCCAAGGAGGACGGCTCCGGCTCATGGTTGACAGTCTTGGTCTCGGGGCTGGTGATCGGGGACCCATCCGGTGGAGGCGAAGGGCTTTTGTTTGCTTTTGCAGGGGCACTGTCGCTGGAGGAAAGAAAGGACAGGAGAGTCTGAGCCGGGGGCAGAATGGATGCGGCTGGTCAGACAGATTTACCCGGACAAGCCAGTTTCAATGCCCTCTCTATTCACTGCCCAGACATGGGATCAGAGATGCGAAGGCAAAAATCAGCTGAGGCTTAGACACTTGCTGAATCACTCACAGCCCAGTGCCTTGTCCTAGTGCACCCGGGCTGGTCTGTATGCTCGCGGGTGCATTTAAGGCAGGCCTATCTCTATGCCACTGTGCAGGCAGCCCCAACTCTGCCAGTCACTGCGAAGTTGCAAACTAATGTTCTTTTAACATGGCTAAAAAATATCTAGGAAACTGCACACACAAAACTAACTGAAAAGCCCAGGATTTCTTTGGCACCAATCCCCCGCGGACCATCTGCTGGCAGGGGGCCTACAGAGCCGCTGCACAGGGCTTTAACCCTGACTCGTGCAGTAGCTGATAGCATTGACTGGGTATCTTCCAAGTGGACCAGCGACAGAAAGGCTGGGGATGCATATGTTAGCGGGATTAAAGATATTCCCCTTGCTTCACCCACTGGCTCTCAATTCCCCTTTTCCCTCTTGGCTCCACTGAGCATGATGATATGCAACCTGGACTCCCCCCCCACAAAAGGCTTGTAACTTGGCCAGATATGGGCAGATTTTATACAGCATGTTAAAAGGCACAAACAGGCAATCCTCTGCCAATTTTCAAGCCCTCCGCATCTCTAGAATATGGCTCGTTAGAGCTCCTCCTAGAGCAGGTGATGACTTTTAACAGGGGCAAAATGATGCACGCTTTCTTGCCTCGTACTTGGAAATGGTTCATTTCTATTTGGAGCTGAATTTCTTTTTTTTTTTTAATTTTGGCCAAAGTGGTCCAAAATTATAAGCGACTGATTAAAAGGGCTTATAATGAGAAGTTCTAGCCAGCCTAACTAATAGGCAACGTTACCAGCCCTTCTTATACGAGGCGACGGTTCATATGAAGCTCATATCTGGCACAATGAAGGCCCCATCCTCGGGCAGGACTGCGGGGGAACGGCCGCTTTGCTGCGGTATAAAACACTCTACCCTGAAGACCCCTGCATGGGCCATAAAGCAACATCCTCCTCAGCATGATGCACAATCTGGATCAGCTGGTCCTGACGATACCCAGGACTTGCTCCTCTGGAGGAGTTTCTTCCTCTTCATACACATGCAACCTGCCCTGTATTTGCACACACTTGAAGGGTCCGAACAGCCTGCCATCGGAGGTGGTTCAAGCACCTACATTGAACAGCTTCAAGAGAAAACTGGATGCTTATCTTGCTGGGATCTTATGACCCCAGCTGACTTCCTGCCCTTTGGGTGGGGGGCTGGACTCGATGATCTTCCGATGTCCCTTCCAGCCCCAATGTTTACGAAGTCTATGAAACTCTGGTGCTGCGTGTCCCCACGCCGATGTTTTGGCTCTCCTGCCAGCAGAGGAGGTCTCGGCCAGGCTGAAGCAGGGGTCACAGGCATTTGAACTGAACACATCAAAAGTTTCCAACAGCGCCGGGGCAGCAGCACGACAACAAGATGCAAGAAACCTCCCAGCAGCAGCTCTCAACCTGGAGGTTGCATGAATTTGGGGGGGGGGGGAAAAAAAATCGGTGGGGGGTGACTGGAAGACACCGGGGTGGTCAAGAGCACCCTGGCTCTTCGGTTGGACTTGGTTTGCTCACCACGTGGGTCTTCCTTGGATGCTTCGCGAGTGACTGCTGTGGAGCTGGTCTGCAAAGGACCTGGGACACCCCAAGGAGATGCCGGTGGCTAACCGAGGCGGCGTGGGAAGGAAGAGGCTCTAGATGGGACTAACCATGCAACTGGTGTGCAGCAAGCCAGTTAGTACC